AATTCGACAGGACCAATTGCTGGGAAGTTGAGAGCAATCAGTGACACGAGGATTGCAGGCTGTGCGTCGGTCACATAACTGGAGGAGGAAAATTCGAAGAGTAAAGACGGCCAATAGATAACCATCCATCGAAAAACAGTACTTCATAAAAGACTATTGATTACTTGCAATGAACTCAGAAAAGATTACTTGACACATTTTTCTGGTCAGCAAACTTGTTTTCATTGACCTGCAATTAGACGAAATCGCTTCTAAATCGTTCAAAGGCCAAACATCACATTTTGGATGCTTTATGCCAGGGTTTGGGAGCATTCAGTGATCTTCGTTTCGGTCAGTCCCTATGAATGGTGCCTCAAGTATTTCGGTTTCACATAGCCCAACGTGCGTTTAAAGCATGGATCTGAACTGTAGCAAGTTGTACAAGCAAGCATTTCAATGATCATCCTTTAAACCCATCCCAATCAAAATCAGCCGGACTAGACCACCACTCACAAGTAGCGGTGACATAAACCTGATGCAAATCCCATCTCAATAGGTTTATCGGAATACCATTTACCAGAGCTGATGAAGAATGTGCGTATGGAGTTACCGGATAGAATACTGTCCTCTTTCGTTCCTGTTGGTTTCGTTCAATCAACTAAATGCCATTGTGGGACAAGTCTGTGCACGTTTGATTCAATACGTGGCATCCCTAAATTTTAGGGACATTGTGAGATACCTTGGAATATGAAGATCATAAGCTCAAGAAAGATAAACTGGTTTCAAGCTGTGAAAAGTGGAAATCACCTAGGAATTTGGAACCTGTGGTGACATAATCAACACACTTGATAAGAAGAGCATCCGGATCAGTAGGTAGGTCTCGAATATAGAAAGACAATCTAGTACCCTGGATTTTTAAGCCGTTGAGCCGCAAAACCGTTTGAACTATCACAGTGACGGTTGTGATAATGATAAAAACGCAAATGAGAAAATGAATGATATGAATAGCTTACAGCTTAAAGTTTGTGTTTTCGAGAAACCGATTAAACTGACTTGACAAAGGCCTTCCAAGAAGGTCGAAATGTTGTCACCGAAATCTTGCGTTTTGGTACTCACGTTGTGGCTAAAACAAACCTGATTATATTAGTATACAGCTTTTATCACAATTCTCAGTATAATTGCACACAGTTCACAAAAATAAGCATTTTTTCTAACAAATCGGCCGCCAAAATGTGTAATCACTAATCTTGGCATAGTTCGACGTTGTCTAACACAATATTTAATAAAATTATTAGATGAATCGTCTATAAATATGCATAACAGCTTACATTTCACCATCGTGGTTGAAAAATCGATCCCACCCGGATGGACCGGCATTACGAGTAACCCATAGAAGTGTAATCAGCAGGAACAAAATGCAACACACGCCCTCAGCATACCTGTAAATGGCATCAGCGAAATGTATCAGGCCATTTGGTTTATAAAGAAATACAAATAAAGTTTCGCAAAATGTATATTCAAAACAAAGTTGAGTTCAATCGTATTTCCCTGTCACCACGGATAATGCGATAAATTAACTTATCCGTCCAAATCATCTGTTGCTGCATCGATAGGCTCAGTTTCTTATTCATGAACTGTACTGCAAGCAAAACAAGCTGGTATCAGTGATGATTCCGATGATAGTGTGGCTGAATAAAAGCGGTCTACAAACCAGAACCGGTCTATCGACAATCGAAAATGGGACCATAACGAAAACGAGCAACTGAGACAGCTAAGGACCATTTCTTTTCACAATCTATTGTTTACGGCACATATTCAGTTATGGTATATAATTTTCTGATACATTACATCTGGACCGCTTCTGATATACCTAGTCCGTTGATTCTTTCGTGAAATTGTGCAATGCTTTATTGGACAATATCATACATCTGCATGATGATTAGTATTGTGAAGCCGCCCTGTCTGGTTTTAAATTTATTACTTCAGATGTATAGGTCAAAATATGAGATTTTACCGTCAAAATCAAAGAACCCAAGGAATTGTTACGCTTGCCCAAAACCTTAAGCATCCACTTTGGTGTAACACTGCGCCTCGAATAACAAGGTGATTCATAATAGCATCATGGTTTACTCAATCAGGATGTCTATAATGAAGTTAAGCCATTGTTCACTTGCTACACACAACAGTGAGAATGAAAAACGTGGCAAGCCAACTCGTTTTGAACTATTCGTAATCATGCCATTGAATGCTCTTGAACGGCCGATGCGCGTCTGTAGAGGCTTTAGCTACTCCAAGTTCCTTGGCTTCTAGCAATGACTTATAATAATATGTTTCGGGTTGTCATTTTCTGGAACAACACTTCGTAATAATTGAAAGTCACTATCAATGGTGTCAGCGGTGCATGTTTTCTTCCCTCCAACCCCAATTACAGCACGTATGCAACCAGTGAAACTTTTGATGCTGTGATCAATTTCAAACGAACACATGTATGAAGGCAGATATCAGCATTAATGACTGGAATGTTTCATTCCCTTTTGTCTATGTTGTTTGCCATTTTAATGCTACTGAATGGCACGATCACGAATGACTAAAAGCGAGTTTGTTTGCTACGCTGTTGTTATTCGCAACGATTTCTGCGGAACTATACAATCAAGACTCTCTTCGTATTTAGTACATCTCGCCATCTTGTCGAAAAAGATCAGAACAGCGATTTAGATTTCAGCTTTTCATTCGTCATCACAAGAGCTATTTACGTTATTCTATAGCGGGGCACAAGAATTGAACATATCATTTGTGATTTACCCATAATCACTGTTTTCTACTCCTACAATCGCTTTTCTAATGCGAGTATCCAAACAAAATATCTTTCTCTACCCTTAAATTAAAGTTCCTAACAACTGTTTAAATAATTCTAAAGATAAATAACTTTGCCATTGTGTCTAGGTGAAATTGTGATCAATCAAATTATGTCGCACGTTATTTTAATTTCAAAGCCAAATGATCATGTCCATTTCATTAGGCTAAATCATGGCATAGAACCAGAAGAACGTAAAATGTCAAAAGACCGCATACAAGGTAACTAAACATTTGACGTTTCCGAAACCACTGGTGATATATATATATATATATGACGGCAATATTCTGATGTAGGAACACTGGTGTTACATTATTGAAAACTCCAGATATTTTGGTGCCCCGAAGCTGAATAACTACAATGATAAAGTCTAGAAAACCGGGAGAGGTTATCTAGTTTGCATAGACGTTTCTCACCATTCGTCTGACAGCATGCAAGTAGTAATTGATTGCACAATTATCCGGTGATGAAAAGGCTTTGTAACTTACGTGAACTTTCCAAGTACCCGTACTTCTTTTGCTATAACATCGTTTACCATAGCATCGCGTTTGGAACCACGGTTTCTACTACAAAAACTCCTGAAAGATATCGAAAAACGCACAGTGATAGCAGCGACCATAGGTCGATTGCGGTTGGGTAAGTTTGTGAGTCGGCCGCTACCAACCGAATAATTTCAGGACAGTTCGTCTTCTACCAAACCCTGTTTTGTGCATCATTATACTAACCAACGGGCTTGCTTTCATGTTGTGAACTATACGATGTTTCAAAGTTTGATCATCGGTCATTTAACAACACTACCGCTTATCATAACTCATAGGATTTTTGAATGTTTTGAGCAGCTTTATAGATGGCAATAGTGATAAAATGCATCATCAATAACAGAGGTTGAATCTCTAAGTGCTACAATGCTTTAGCAAGCTGCGATTTCGATAATTTAAGTTTAGAACAACGCACAATATGGTATGGAAGAGATTTTCATACACCGCACACTCTAACTGCAAACGAGTAATGTCGGACATCTAGGTGCTTAATGTGACTCCTCAACTCCACTAGATATCCTCAGAGATGATTGTTTTGGGATAAGCTCCAAACAGAATGCCAGATACAGTTGGGATGATGCAGTATGTGGTTTGTCAAGATTAGCTCTCCCAATGTCGACCGCACAGAGACGAGTAAAGCTCCACTATTTGTATGTCTTCTTAAACAAATATTTCACCATATCTGTTGCTAACCGTTGTGGACGTCTGAGAAACCTCTAATCAAGGATTCATCATTTGAACAGCGCATTCTGTGTCTGACTGAATGAACGCTGATAGCAAGCTTGGGATCACTGCCATTTTGCACATCCCCAAAGCAAGTTTTAGTGAGGTAACTTTACAGCCATTGATGATGCTCTACCACGGTGCATGTAACACCTTATCGCCTCCTGTACTACAGTTATTAAATCCCTTTCGTCAGTCGCATACGGCACTGTTTGATTCTACAGAACATATGAGAAACTAGTTTTGTGCCTTATGAAAATAACTGCATTTTGAAATGTTGAATTCAATGTGATTTTGGATTGACCATCGGTAGGTTCCATTGATCGTTTCCTGGAATGCCACATAATCCTCTGGATGTGTTACTGTTTTCGAGATTCTAGTGTTGTTCGTAAATAGTGGTATTCTTGATCCAAAGACATCTGATAGTTTGTGTACAAATGCAACAAAAATAGGAATCCCCAGCACGGATCCCTACAGAACCCTTCGGACAGCGGCGATAACTCCGGATAAGGCATCACAAACACGAGCTGACATTATTTCCTGTCAGAGAAACCCCTCGGTCCAGTCGAGAACCAAACCGCTTACTCCGCAATCGTGGAGTTTTCGCNCGGAGAAGTCCAAATAAACTATAGTGAAGGGCTCAGTTGCATCGACGTGTTTGGTCTGCACATCTCGTGCCAGTCGTAGATTTGTGGTGCACAAACATTTGTACCAAAATCAGTGCTGGGCTGTAGCAAACATCTCATGCTTCTCCTGTTGCTCCATCAATAGATATGTCACAATAACAACATAAAGTGTATTAGGGCGGGATTTGGCAGGATCACTGCGAGAGCCCCATTGTAATTGGGTGAACTAGCTTCTTCCTTCTACGACCGCGGAATTACTTTCGGTTGTTTATTTTTCGATTTGGAATGGGAATGAATTATTGAGCCATGATTTCACGGCAAATCAGTTTTTTCTCACACAAACTTCCTATCTTGTTTTCCAAATAAGGTATAATTATTCGAAATTTCATCAGGGGGCATCTCCTGTACTGTCGCCAGAAAAAGTCCCTTTCCTCTATCCATGTCGTTTTTCGGCTGCCAATTTTTAGATTTTGCACCATTTTTGATGCTTTTCGCAGCCCTCATTATTTCGCAAGCTATTTGTTAAGGCTTTTTTATGCTACCAACGTATAATCGTCGCCCTCCGAGAGGACCCATTTCTTAAACCCTGATGATCAATGAGATCTGACTTGAGAGTGTTTGATGGTTAAGTAGTAAACGTGTGTTCTAGCTGTTAACACATCAAATGAAACAGTAAGTCACTTTCACATGAACAGTGGCAAAACGCAGCCGCATTCGTTTCATTCAGCTCTCTGGATTTCGTGAATTAGTGAGGACTGTTATCACCGGGTTGATAGAAAAACAGGAGTAGCGAGCAGACACGTTTTAGATAACTTTCGTTTAGTTTTTCCTGCAGATTTTCTGTGAAATATGCGTTTTTGTATTATCAAAATCCTCAAGTAAACACATATCTGATCAAACATTTCCGCTTTGGTTTTCCTGAACACATAAACAAATCTTCTTGCTAGAACAAAAGTATAGAAAAAATAAGCATACATTCTATTCACGTTGTTCTGTAATTACCACCATGAGAATCTTCATCTCCTAACCGCTCTAAGCTGCAGACGAGACAGTGCTCAAATAGTACATAGAAAAAAGGTCGAAGAGAATGTTGATTGGATGAAAAAAGACATCCTCATAAAGCGTGTTATTTCTTTTAGCTCTCTCTCTCTGTTGATTAATTTATCGCTCCCTATTCTGAGCTCAAAAAGAACAAGTTATTTCCAGAAATGCTTACCGTATTCCAAAAAATAATAAGCTCAACCAGGCCCACACAATCAACAACATAACTAATGAGATGGGCATTGCGTAGGCCATCCAGCTACCAAAGGAAAGTCCAGTTTCTCCTCCATACAGGCTGCAAATAGACAAAGCATGAGGAAATGGGGAATAGACCAAAGACAAACAATGATCAGATAACAATTCTTCCTACATGTTCGAAAATTGGCGTTTACAAACGTTGATTCGCACCTGGTATTCTTAATTCAAACATATTCAACCGCTTTCATCTTTCACTTGGTGTGTAAAACCCTTCATAAATATCATCGATTATCTGAAGATTCGCAGAATAGTGTTATCAGTTTCACGATGATGTCAGTCAATATAAAGACAGCATTTTTGTTTCAATTTTTTGTTTGGAGGCTGTCCATGGAAATTGGATTTTTCTAATCCATGTAGTAAAACATGGCGGTACACAGGTCTTTTGTCACTACCCGGTCTCTAATCATTGATATTTGGTTTAGAAGCCAAAATCCTGACCTACACAACCGACAAACAACAATTTGAGACGAAGGCAACACGAACTGAATATGTGAACTCACAGATAAGAATCACGCATTGTCGTACATCAATAAATCTAACCGTGCAAAAGATCAATGCTTAAATCATTTGATCTACGTCTGATCCGAATTTACCCTTCGGCTGGCGGCTTGAAGTAATTCTTGGCCGGCAGAAGAAAACCGGTGGGGAGATTCATGAGAATCATAGCTTCACAGTATTCCAATGAATGTAGTCTTAAAGTATGGTTAACAATCGGAACAATTAACCATCACAACATATAGTGACCTACTCTACCCAACGGACAACATGTCTACAATGATTTCAACAGAATTCTGTCTGCTGAAATCAAATACCGAATTATTAGAGTGAGACTCACCCGTTCACCAAGCCAAACAAAATGGAATTCGGAGCAGTTCCTGTAATGGTTGCAATACCTCCACACGTGGATGAATAACAGATACTCAAACTGAGTCCGATGCAAAGATTATTCATTGCTTTTAGTCGATCCCCTGGATCGTTGTTCAGTTTATTATGATTTGTGACGTTTATCTCGACGTTTCCATTGACCGATGCTTCGTGATGATGTGGATGTTGTTCCGCTGAAGTAAAGTCCAGATGGGCTTCAGGCGCAGTTTTCATGCCTTGCTCTAACATTTGTGGTATGTGAGGTGTCCTATCATGATTTCGAAAGCAAGTGATCGTCAATGTTTTGCATTAGAAATGGGGTAAATACATACATTTCAGTTTGGATTATATGAGAGATTTTACTAAAGCGGATTGTGCTAAAACCATTTTGCCATTCTCTCTGTATATTTGATTGGATAAATGAATCACTCTAAACTTTAATCCGTATAATAAGACATTTCAATATTGCCTTTTTTAATTTTTCCCCAACATGCAACGTGCAGCTTAAGGTTCCTAGAAGTAATAATTTTGCACCCCTAGCTTTATGTCTACCACACGGTGTTGTGTTGCTAGTTCCTCCGTGCTATTAAATGCGTAGATCTTTTCGCACGGTGATATCTGAGTGATTGATCTCACGAAAATGACCTGCGCTATCATACCTCAACGCAATCCTGCTCTGCAGGACGCTAATTCATCGATTATGAATCCTTATATATTTATCCCAATGAGACGAAGTCTATTGGACAACTGTTATAGTCGATCAGGGTTTTGAGCAGTCAAATCTACTGTATACCTTGAAATCTGAACATCAGTAATGATTCTCTGAAATGAATACCTTTTATCCTTTAACCATTTATGAGTGATCTGCCTAATTGCTAAATGTGATGACTAATTGAAGGCTAGTCTATATTATCTCTATGAACATCTTACATATTCTGTTCACAACACATGAGAATAACTTGTTTATGCATTGTGAAAGTGAAGTTTTTTAATCTGACATTGTTTTGATTTTCAGTTGCAGAGCGACACATTGGGTAGTTTTGACAGACGGGGTTAATGTGCGTCGTGACAATGAACTCACTGTGTTTCATTTTCAGGGCTTGCTTCTTCATTTTGTTGTAGAGCTGTGTATTGAAAACATAAATGGATGCGTTTATACTTCTTTCCGTTCATATAATGACATGAAGACCAAGAATATGCAAACAGCTAAACCTTTAAAAACGAGACTAATGAGTGAGCATATAGCATTGACCAGTTCGTAGTCGTTCCCGAGACTCTAAGAGACTAACTAAAATTAGCTAACCTTACTCAGTTGAGCGACTGGCCAAACTGAAGTCATGTTAAAAACTGTACCTATGCTGATGTAGTTTTATACTAGCATGCATAGCCCTCAAAATCGAGGCCTTGAAAAGAAAAATGTCCTGTATGTTTGATCGTATTTGTTTTTGTGGGAAATGTGCGTGAGAATGAAAATCTGTGATCACCTGGCCGTTTTAACGAACCTAATCAGGTTTAATAAATCACAACCGACCGAATAGGGCATACTGAAACCGCAACAACTGACATAAGGTACAGTAAAACTATGATAATGAACTTACTTTCTTCAATGGAAGCTAAGCTTTGTAGCACGGCTTCGACAATGGTGATCATCATGGCTGTGGTTGCCGTATTACTCATCCACATTGACAGAAACCAAGTGGGTATCATGAATCCAAGCATCAACCTGGGGTTGGGAAAATCGACACACGTGTATGTGGCATCAAGTTCCGTGAGTGTTTAAGTCGGACACGGAACCACATTCTTTTCTCTCTATTTAAAAGTTCATATGGCAAAAATGTTTTCTCACCATGTTTGACAAAACTCTTATTGCATTGTGTTGATACCATTTACAAACTTGTCAGATGGAGAAATAGTTGTCTTGGTTAACTGTCCCGTTGTAGTGTGGCCAAGGGTGTCAGCCGAACGGTTCTCATGATGGCTTGTATGAGAGCTTGTACTTCAAATAAAGGTTAACTGGCGAATGCTCCTCAAAATAAACCGGTTTCTTCCTGTACAGTCAACCGATGGTTGACATACAGGTAATTACAATTAGCGGCACCTATGTCACGTTACATTACTGGATTGTTGTAATCCATGTGAAATCCGTTTGTGTGTGAGTGACTGCGAAGGAATTTTTCAGAATAAAATAGTTCCATTTTGCGGTGAATGATTATGCAACAAACAGGGAACAAAGAAACATGCATTCATATTGATATCCGCGAACAATGCGGTAGAGTTTTACATTTTCAGTCAACTTCAAATGCTGTGATGAAACTAATGAATTGAAGAATGAATCTCGGAAGCATATATTGCGTTCTCTAGGGGCAACCAACTCATTGCTCTAAACAAGGAAATATTACTTCATCTAGATACAATATCTAATAATATCTTCAGTTCCAAGTTGTGAATGTGAGCATAGTGAATATTATACTGTGATTTTGTTTTTATGCTCAGTGCGTTTGTTTGTGTATTCGCTCATTTCCATCCCCATGTGGTTGCTTATGAAGGAGTACAGTGCTGAACACCATCTCACCCATGTTATTTTACCATTACACATGCTCAGAAATTTCTACGAAAAATTTGTTTGTTCCATTATGCGTATCGAATTCTTCGAGACACTTTAGATAAGACCGCGATAAACTCAATCTCACTTCAGTGGCATGAACAAAGCATTATCTGTGACAAATCCAAGTGGCTTACATTTTTGGATCACTTCCAACAATTCGAAGCACTGAGATTGCGATTCGCTTGTGCAAACCTCGATGCTCAATTGTCGTCGCCACAAAAAGTCCACCGATGAATAGCATGTTCGTATCCTGATGAAATTGAATGAGACATAACGGTAGATATTCCGTCTGGTAGCAATCACCGGGAAAACCTTCATTTAAATGACAAGAAATTCCTCATACACTACCTACACCTCAAGTTATCTATTTTATATTCTTTTTCTTGCTGATATCAAGCAATTTTTTATGTTTATATTTCAGCTTTTTAAAGTCTTTTGAAGTTCATCCATGTTTGATCAGCTTTACCCAGCAACACATAAAACTAGAGGTCATTCATCCCCGTTGTAGAGGACTAAGATGTTCCTTATCTTGTGCTACAATACCGGTTTTGCTAGCCAGTCGGAGCGTTCTGAAAATGTCTTATCTTACGTCAAATTCAATGCCTTGGAAGTTATCAAATACAAAGGCTGTATCACACCAAGCTCATTCCGATCTGAGGCGAGTTCCGATTTCGGTAATCGACACTAAATAACTAAGGAATTATTTTACTTGTTTTTGCTATTTACTGAATATACAAATGTACAGTTAACTTTCCGGAAGGGGGCTGCGGCCATACAAACGTCGCATGGGGAAAATACAGATATAGGGAAGACGGGCGGCGGTGGAGCGGTTTGAACCCGGGACACCCAGGTCACTAAACACCCTGACCTGACCACTTGGTCACCACCGCTAAAAGCCTCTGTTAGCCAAATTGGTAATTTAGCACGTATGCTGCATATAAAAACAAAACAAATGAAGATAATTACTGTTTTCAACAGAAATAAGAAATCTGAAAAACAGAACTGGCAGCTATTTATGCAGTCTACGTAAGTGTTAAACTGCGTATTTCAATTTTGTACACTGGATCTCGATTGTACCTCTCACAAACTACCGAAAAACCAGTTAGTTTATTTTCACTTATGCTTCCTGGAATTAAGGTCTGAAATATGCAAGCCAATTTATGTGATATAGACTTCGACGGATGCCTCTCATATGCCGAAGTTGACAACTGTTTCGAATCGGTTATTTCGTTGTAAAACTCGCAAGATGAGTTGTTACCTATGACAACGCATTCGTAACCGATGTACCCTACAAAGATACTTCTGTTCCCATCATCTGAAGTTAGTCCTCAAAGACGTCCAACTGAGTACGTCAAATCTATCGTCACTGAAGATCTTATTGCACCCGATAGGCATCCGATAGTCAGTTTGGTGAAATCGGATCCGGCTAAATCTCACAAAACAGCCAAGCAAACTAAGTGGACGGGAAACAAAGGTACCTAATGACGGAACAATAATAGCCCGAGTGAATATAAACTATGTTGCGAAACAAGTCCTGAAGATATATCTTGAAATAATAATTTTTCCAGCTGCAACGAATTCCAGGTAAATAATAGAATCGCAACTCAGGCCAGATATCGTTTCCATGCGCAAATAAGCTCAAACACTGGCACTTAATGGCCAATTTATTCTCATGAAGAATTCCATTATAATCATGGAAACGATTGTATATCACAACTGTGCTAAACCCACTATCTGGAGGATTCATTATTCTTACCTTCATATAGGCCTGGCAAACCTGGGAGGATTTCATCAATCCAAGCATTGGACCAAGAACAATCGGTAGTAAAGCGGTAACATAGATTGGGATCACTTCGGTTAACCAATAGCCACCCATCAGCAATAGAACAAATGCACCTTTCGAGGCCTGTGGAGAGGGACACGTAACAATTTGTTCAAAATCAATAGTTAATCATATACGGCTTGGAAACATTCATGTAGGCGTAACGAATTACGTCTTGTCTGTGTGTTTCGTAGATTTGTGAAATCTGTCTATAAGAACAAACCGCGAATAGACAGGAGTTCCAAATGCCATTCAAATCGGGGAAATAAAACGCAAAAGTTTACTAGGGTGGACAACATTGACATCATCTGCGCTGATTCATTCTCCCCTCTAAACAATCCGAAAATTATATTTTGTAGACTAGTTGTCTCGTAACCGAATATCAGTGGACCGTTTCAGAAGACTGATGCATTTATTCGAAAATTATATATATATATATATATATATATAATGATCAGTAGAAGATCATCCCATGCCGTGATGATTTTCTAACGCTAAGGGACAAACTAGCATCAA